CTCTCTCTCTCTCTCTCTCTCTATATATATATATATATATATATATAATTTGTTTGATAATAATTGTGTATTTTATATTAAACAAAAAATATATAAAATTGTTAATAAAATATAAGTTTATTAAGATAATATAATACTTCCAAAAGAAAAAATATTACTTTTGGTCTAATCTACTATTAAATGTATTTTTAATCCTAAACTTTATCAAATTTCACCATAATTTTTGAACAAAATAATATTTAGTTTGTACTAAAAATAACTTTTAAATTCTAATTAAATAGGAGTTATATATATATGTGTGTGTGTATTATATTCAAACCTAGAAGTGATTTTTAAGTTATTATTTGTGAAAAGATAATTAATTTATAAAATATCTCATATTTAATTAACCATTAAAATAATAATTTTCATAAATTATTTATTATTTTTTCAATATTATCGATTTAATCCATAATTAAGATGTATTATTAATTTCACTAACACAAAAAAAAAATGTAAGATATATATATTTTTTTTAATTTTTAGCTTCCTAGGATTAACATAAAACATTTTTATTCTAAAATAATTTAAAAGATAGAGAAATAAAATTAATATAATATATTAAAGTATTTTTCCTTTTTAGCATTTCTAAATGTAATTACATGTCATTATTATTTTATTTTTTTATTTTTTATTGTAAGTAAAATTATATAATTTTGGAGTGTGCATGACTTTGTGTGAATTTTTATTTCAATTTTTGTCTTGTAAATTTCGACGGTTAGGAAGAACCGTCGCAATGTTGAAAAATTTTGTAACGGTTGGGAGAAACCGTCTCAATGTTGGAAAATTTTGCCACGATTTTGGGAGAAACCGTCGCAATGTTGAAAAATTTTGCTACGATTAGGAGAAACCGTCGTATGAAGGGTCGCAATATCAAAGCGACGACAGTTTCAAGATAACCGTCGCAATTTGTCCGTCGCAATTCATCATTTTCCTTGTAGTGAATCATCACCCACCATAGAAAGTGCTCTTATTAATGCATAAAGAATTCAAACTCAATTTGTGCTTTCTATCTCACTATTCATTATCTTCTTTATTTATTGTCCCTTTCTCGCTTTTCCTTGCTTTTGATGACCCATCCTTAGACGCTTATAGCCCTAGTGACCATTGCAACCCACACCTACATGCAACCTAACCAACATTTTTCCAATTTATTATTCTGTTTAAGGTTAGTTTCCATGTGACCTTGTGACACCCTCTACCTTGCATACCATAACACAAATAATATCAAACTGAAATACCTCATACAAATAAGAACTCAAAATTTCATATAGGTAAAAAGAATCACATTGTTAACATAAACTAAGCTTGATCGAAATAATAAAATTATAAAGGAATTAAAATCAAACTACTTAAATTAAATAACATGAATTAATTCCTAAACTAATCTTAACTATGTCCCGATGTCACATGTTCTATCAAAGCACAATCCATCATTAAGGACTAGACCTTATCAAAAACATCCTTAGTACCATACTGATGATCACCTACATGAACCACAAGCAAACAACACAAAAGAAAGGAAGTGAGAAACATCTTACTTTGGCCATTGTGCAAGAAAGCAAACCGGTTAGTCAAACACAAATAATACATACAATATGATATAACATACACAAATACACAATATCATCATACTTGGTTCATTCATTACATAATAATTAACAATTACATATATGGTTATAATTCATTATGCAATGGACATGAATTACATGTTAAGATACATATGGCGTTAGTAAGAACATCACACTTGTGCACTAACAATACATGTAAAATAATCTAGGAGTACATGTAAGGTCACATTCTTTGTGCACTTTCACTAAAAGAACATACTACCAAGATTTAAATATATTTATTTTACCCAAATCCAAACGGAAGCCATTAAATATATTTATCAAGATAAGGATAATTTGAGGGGTGATAAGCATAAGTACGAGCATGTATATAATTATAAAGAAGAGAAGCAATAAGTATAAAAATTAATACTTACATAATACTACATTTTTGTATAACTAATTAATATTTAAATTAATTTAAATAGTTCAATTACCTGAATAAAAAACCTGATTAGGTTAGATAAAAATATCAATAAATTATTACTTAAGTAAGAAAATAATGTAAAAGTATAATTGATATTTTTAAATAAATTGGTTTATAATTTATAATTAAAAATAATTATTTTAATTATAGAAACGAAAAATGTAAACAAACATTGCATATAATTAAATTATTATCATGAATTACTTTAATTATTCAATTTAAATGTGATTTTGTTAAATTTGATAAAATCATTTTTAATACGCTAATTAAAATATATACAGTAATAATTTACTTAATTAATTCAAATCACAATATATATATATATATATATATATATATATATTATCATTAATAACACTAAATCAATTTTATAAGAGCAAATCATATTATATATTCACGAAATCTCACTTAATGTTTTTTAAAACTCATATTCTTTATTTAATCTAATTGTCTATTCATTTGTCACAAAATTAAACAAAATGATCACACAATCAAATCTAATTAACACCTATAATATTAATATATTATCATTTTATATATTAATATCTTATAATCCATTTTTCTTTTATCCACTCCAAATAATTTTGAAAACGAAGACACTTGACACTTGAAAAAGAGTATTCTCAACAATTCTAATATTTTAGAAAATTTCATATATTAGCATAATATCATTAAAAAAAAATTATATATTAGGGTTTTGTTATTCTCACGACGTAAAGCCTCAGCGCCCCTTCTCCTTCCACGGTACTCTGACGGGTGCATGGGGTCGGTCAGCTAGGTCTCTGGTGCGCTCGGATGGCAGTGGGAAGCTCATTGACATCTTGGCCAAACACTTCATAATCGTTGCTCTCTGTCAGGTATACTGTTAAAGTTATCATCTTTTTCACTTTTTCCTTGTTTTCCCCTTCACTGTGAATTGTGAGTGGTTTCGAGGTTTAGGATTGGGGGAGCGAGGACAGAGGGGAGGTGGTTCCGATTTTACCCAAGGGGACAAATTCCTCATTTGGGGGCCCTGCCACCAGGTTTAGGGTAACTAGTCCACCTTCTAATCAAAATATTTTATTTTTCACAAAATTGGAAAATGTTTTGATTAAATTATTTCATCAATACAAAGTTAGGTTCCACCAAACATTAGTTCTTAATTGTTTATTTTAAATACTGTGTAAAAGATAGTTGCTACCGTATGAATGATATTAATTTTTAAATATTGTGTGAGCAACAATTGCTAATTTTGAGAACTATAGGATAATTGCTAGTTTTGAGACACCGGGAAAGAAAGGTATGGACCAAAAATGATGGTCTAGGTGAAGGTTTGAGATTGCTGGTGATAAGAAACCACCGTGAATCCCAAGCGCGTGGCTCAATGGTAGGGGTTGATCTAGCTTAAGTATGGTCAGGAATTCGAATTTTACCTTGTATATGCAGTCGCGTTAAATCTTGCAACTATTCCATTTTTTGAGGTATCTCTAACGTAACGAGAAGATTAGTCACTGTTATTGGCGGTGGATACTCAAGGAATGAATAAAAAAAGAAACTACCGTGACCAAGCTTGTGAGATGTTTTGGGTCCCGCTAAAAATCTGAAAGCCTTAATTAAGATAGTTAAAAAAGGTCTCATTGTGCTTTGTAGCCATTCTTTAAAAAAGAAAAAAACACTCATCTTAATGCCAAAGGACCAAGGTATATATATGTTCATAGTTATTACAATAGCCCACTTGAACTAAAAAAATGTAATTACATATATGTAAATATAAATGTAATTACATATATGCAATGTATATTTAGCTTTATTATTTCTACTAGTTATGTGCAAGTGTTGGTTTGGGATTATCAAGTAGAAGTAGAAGGGAACAAAGGGATGTCTTATTATGTTGCACGTGGCGCACTTTAGGCTAGTGGCTAAATATCCGGTGGCAATAATGGTGGATTTGTGAATGCAACAGAATGACAAGTATATTCAATCAAATGAGTTGATATTACTGTGACACATTTAATTTTATATGTTAGGTTTGTAATATTAAGATCATTTTAATTTGGAGATATATATACTACTTTATATTTTTGCAACAATTTTCATAAGAATTATATTTTTATGACCAGTATTAATTATTATTGTGTAATTTCTTATCTTTATTATAAGGATTAAACTTGTCAAAAATATTGTGCTTCAAAATAAAGAATTATTTTTCTATATAGATATAGATAAAATACAGTCATTTTATCTAGATAAATCTAATAATTAAGAACAAGTAAAAAAATGTGGTGTAATTAAAAAGAATTAGTTATATTTTAAGTTTGTATAAGTAACTGTTTAATTAATTAATTAATTTTTTAAAAAAATTATTAGTTTTGGTTGTTTTATTTTTTTTAAAATGATTAATACAACAACTCAAGATTGACATGTGATTTATATCTGAATAGAACAAAAAAATAAGCAATACCTTCCCTCGAATAAATAAATAAATAAGAATTGAAACAAAGTATGAATTTAGAAAAGAAGAAATTATATTTGTTTATGAAACTACAAAATATTATCACTATAAGAAAAACTGTTATATAAATATGAAGTACTTCTTAGATTTTACTACTACTAATATAGCTAGCCTATGAACAACATGATTCCAATGAGCAATAAGGATTTTCAGGTGAATGAATTAGTAGCAATGACACCTATCATTGCCCATTTGCATAGGCACATGGTTCTAAATGACTTTAAACTGGTTAAAAACCAGTTTACCCCAAGAGATTTGCATATAGCGCTAGTCTGCAAAGAGCATATGATAATATATTTAAATGTTATAAATATACAGAAAATGAATTTCATTCCAACACCTTTGTCTTTCTATGTTCTAATATATTTATGTTATAAATACACAAAACATGAATTCTATTCCAACAAGAAATTCCCCAAAAGCCTATGAACCTGTGAATATTTTGTATACTATATGATAAATTAGTTTCAATCTTCATCAGTTTCAATCTATTTTGTTGATACACTTGGTCTGATTGCATATTGTATATTAAAATTATTGTGTTCGATTGTTGCACTTGGTTTGCTTTAAAGTTTCTTATTCATAATTTGGTCATTCATAGTCCACAATCTGAAATTGAAATGCTAAGGTACATAATTTGTTTATTATTATCATTTTGTTCTAAGGGAATTATGGTAAATGCACTAACTTTATAGTCATGAATAATTTAACTGCTTTCTTATTCTCTTTATGCAGAAAAAAGTTTCTTGGAAACCTGAACATGAAGAGAAGATAAAAAAGATATTTTACACAAAAGCATCTCATAGGCTTTCTGAAATGTTCAAGGAAGCTCGTAAAATAAACAAGAAGCTTGATTGGATGTTTGATACAGTTTGGCAAAGTTTGATTACCAGCGGATGGCCCCAAAATTTAAAACAAAGAGTATCCAAGCTCAAAAAAATAGAGCATTTGAGAAAGGTGGAAGTCTGCACACAGGTGGCTCCATCACCCCTCACGAGCATGCTATCCAGATGGTAATTACATTAAACAACTACTATATTTTATTCAACATAATTTTAGAAATATGATGATTAACTATTTATACAATTATAGTCACAAGAGTTGGGTCGCCTTCCACATATTGATGAGTTGTTCCACCAAACTCATGTACGAAAGCTTACAGGTGATTTTGTCGACCAAAGATCTAAGCAAACATATGTAAATTATTTTTTTTTTGTATTATTGCTTTATTCTTTTCAATTTTAATCATCTTTGATAAATGTCATTTTTAAACATCTTTATTTACGAAATATGATCAATTTGAGACTATTTAATCAAGCTAGGTCTGAGGTTGCATCTTGTACAGAAGGTTTTGAAACGTCTTCTATGGACCTAGTTGAGGAAGAAAGACTCCACAATGAGAGTTGGATTGTTGTTGTTGATGGGATTACAAACAAAAGATGACTAAACGGGGTTGGAAAAGTCACTTCTACATTGAGATTTGGGGATACCTTCACAAATATATCTTCTAGTTGTGCTACTTAAGAGTCAAAGAAAATTATAATTCAAGAAAAATCAACATTATCTACAGAAGAAATCCGTAGATAAGCATGAAAATTCGTAGATAAGTGTTAATTATCTACAGATTATCTATAGAAAAAAATCTGTAGGTAATAAAGTCGTAGATAACAGTACTTGCGAAAAATTTTCCATACCGAAAATTTTCCGTAGGTAACCTTATATACGGACATTCATACGGATTACCCACAAAAGTTGTTATATACGAATAAGTTTTAAAAGACTTACCTACAGAATTTATCTACGGGTTATCTACGAAAATTTTTATAATCTAATAGTCATCTCCATAATGTCTAGTAGGTGGTAGTTGTTGGGCATCGTGGTTGTCATGAGATTGTTGATCTACCTGTTGTTGCAAAATATGTTGTGTATCAGAAGGTAAGAGAGGTAGAACAACAATGAACAAGGATTGAAACTGGCATTGCAAGCATTCATTTTGTTCCCTAGATTGACGAGCCTCCTCCCTAGACTTATATATGGACTTGCTCTTGCAATTGAATAATTTTCTCTGACTCTTCAGAAGCACGACCAAAAGATATATTTGTGAAGGTATCCCCCAATGTTAATGGAGAATTGACTTTTCCAACCCCGTAAAGTCGTCTTTTGTCTGTAATCCCACCAGCAGCAACAATCCAACCCTTATTGTAGAGTCTTTCTTCCTTAACTGAGTCCATAAGAGACGTTTCAAAACCTCCCGTACAAGATGTAGCCTCAGACCTAGTTTGATTAAATATAGTCTCAAATTGATCCTATTTCATAAATAAAGATGCTTAGAAGTGACATTTATCAAAGATGATTAAAATTGAAAAGAATAAAGCAATAATACAAAAAAAAAATAACTCACATATGTTCGCTTAGATCTTTGGTCGACAAAATCACCTGTAAGCTTCCGTACATAAGTTTGGTGGAACAACTCATCAATATGTGGAAGGCGACCCAACTCTTGTGACTATAATTGTATAAATAGTTAATCATCATATTTCTAAAATTATGTTGAATAAAATATAGTAGTTGTTTAATGTAATTAGCATCTGGATAGCATGCTCGTGAGGGGTGATGGAGCCACCTGTGTGCAGACTTCCACCTTTCTCAGATGCTCTATTTTTTTGAGCTTGGATACTCTTTGTTTTAAATTTTGGGGTCATCCGCTGGTAATCAAACTTTGCCAAACTGTATCAAACATCCAATCAAACTTCTTGTTTATTTTACGAGCTTCCTTGAACATTTCAGAAAGCCTATTAGATCCTTGAACATAAATATACTAGAACATGGAAAGACAAAGGTGTTGGAATAGAATTCATCTTCTGTATATTTATAACATTTAAATATAGTCATATGCCCTTTGCATACCAATGCCATATTCAAATCTACTGGTGTAAACTGGTTTTTAACCAGTTTAAAGTCATTTAGAACCATGTGCCTATGCAAATGGCCAATGATAGGTGTCATTGCTACTAATTCATGAACCTGAAAATCCTTATTGCTCATTAGAATTAGGTTGTTCACAAGCTAGCTATATTGGTAGTAGTAGAATCTAATAAGTATTCCCCATCTAACTTCATCAACATTATATACATATCAATTAAAACAAAGACAAAAATTTCTAGGATTGATTAAGGCATAAATAAAACAAAGACAAAGACAAAGAATCAATAAGTTTACTTTGTTTCATTTGTATTCTATTAAGTTAGAATTACTAGGATTGATTAACGAATCTAAGTCTTATTAGGTTCTAAAGACAAAGACAATGTAACCAATTAAAATTTCTTTAAAAAAAACCCCAATTAATACACATATAGTGACAAAGACAATGAGTTCTATTATGTATCTTCATTTAATTACTCTTGTCAATAAATAATATGCAATTATTATAAATAAAAAACTTTTATAATATTTATTTAACAATTTTTTATTTTTATTTAAAAATTTAAAATTATCTTATAAGTATAAATTAATTTAATTATCGTAATATTATTAAAAGAATGCGCTATATATATAGTGACTACTAGTGATATATTTTTATCTGCCCTGGATTCTGCAATCCCAATTACATGAAAAGAGGTGTGACACATCTCAAGTGCTAATTTTGGTCTCATATTCACAAATTCAGCAGAAGTTTTCAATTTGTTGGCTCTAATTATTATTAATTTGAGTTAAAAAGAATAAAACTGATAAAACCAACAAGAAAATCAATGAAATTGGTACTCAAAAGCATAAAGAAAAAGACAAAAATGCAGTACTAGTTTAAAGTCATTTAGAACAATGTGCCTATGCAAATGCCCAATCGGCATGCTAAGATTTCAAGACTTATATCTCGTGAACCAGAGTTGACACAAGACATATATCTTGTTTTCAAGATGGAGTGCAAAAAGGTGAATTTGTTTTTTCTTATTTTCTTTAATTTATAGTTCTTCATTTGATCTCAAGGTTATGATACTATAATAAACTAAAATATCTAGTTTAAGAATACTACAGATTGTGCCTCTTTAATGACAATATTATTAAGAGACAATCACAACACAAGTTGTGCCTAAAAGGTGTTAAAAAATTACAAACTAGTTATATAATAACCATAGAGCACCCTCTCACAGGTAGAAGAAAAAAATTATACCCCAACCCTTAACTCCCTTAAACACACCTTACTTCTACATAAAACACATCATTGGGCATCCCTTCATACTTACAAAGAACTTTAACCACATCCCAATTAACAAAGAAACAGATATAAAACTGTATTGGAAAAATTTTAACTATTCCCTAGCTCCCTTTTGTTATGATTGTTGCATATGATCTTACCAAAGAGCTTTTTGGAATTTAAAATTTTTTCTGCATAATAGTGTTGTTGTTGCTCTAGAGGCAAACAAACAGAAAATTTTGGTTTCAAAAACAAGCATTAGTTGGAGCAGAACATATTCTACATGCTCTAGAAGCTACAAAAAAGATTCTAAGATTGTTACCCTTCTATTTTAAATGTTATGAGTAGCCTAGCTAGTTACATTATTTTGATTAAAAGTGTGTTGTTTATTTCTAATTCTTCCAACTTAAAATTTGTTAAACATATTGAGGAACCCCATTGTTGAGTAAGTAGTCAAGGATAGTTTTGCAATAGTTAAAAAAATTGTTCTTTTAGAAAAGGAAAAGGCCACAACTAAGGAGACCTAGGGGTGAATGTAATTAAGGTGGATTTCCAACATTTAGATAAGCATATGATTGGATCAAATAATTCTTTAAACTTTCTTAGATAGCAATCAATACTTATGAATCAATAATTTACACATTCATAGCAAGCGGGAAAAAACATTGTTCAGAATATTTACATCCAGAAAGAGAAAGAAATATATCTGCATATGATAGTATAATTTTACACAATATAAGATAGTCTTAGGCAGAACATATTACTAAATCTATTCATTGTTTAATTATAATTGTGATAACTGATAATTATTATAATTTTGTCATAAAGTTAAACAACCAGAATGAAGTTTGAAAGTAATATGACATCCATAACATAAAAATATACATTTCCTATACAAAAACTGATGTTAAGTAAAACATGAATGATTTACCAATCTTAGTCATCTCAAGGGATGAGATCCTTGCAGTATGGTATGTTCTTCTTGTGCTTAGTTCCTGGACACTAAATCTGCACAAACCTTCAAGAACCACAATATATGTGACTCTTCCACTTGGTTTCTCCACTCCTAATGCTCGAGCAGCTACCCCCTTGGAACTGAATATTTATTAAAATCCACCTCCATTAAAAAAATAAAAATCGTGAGATAACTTATTCACTTCATAACATTAGAAAATTGAGAAAGCTAATTTAGCAGAAAAGAGAGACAAATAAATCAAAATCCATTAGAAGAAATATATACAATGGGAGTTTTACTCTTGCAGTGAGCAGTAGAGACGAGGCACAGGAGCAAGGCACGACAGAACTGCTGCGTCACGATGCGCTTCAATTTCTTCTTCTCCCACGAGTGACGAAGAGCGGAGCTGAACCCCAACTCTCACGCTTCAGAGTAGTGAAGGGGAAGGCAGAAAGTGAACCCTAACTCTCACGGTTCCTCGCAATTAAAATTTAAAAATGTATTTTAATTAAAAATAATTTTGTAGTTACGGTAACTAAAAGTATCATAATAAATAATAAAATTAAAAAAATGAAATCATGATTATTTTTTAATGATGCTAAATTAAATATTTTAATTATTTTATAAAAAATTAAAATAAAAAGATAATAAAATATATTAATTAATATTTTAAATAAAATACATTAAAATATTATAATTAAAAGAAATTCAATATTAAATTAAAAGATTATAATAATATTTTTATATTAAATTTATTATATATTAAAATTAATTAAATGTTTTTAATAAAGAAACTGATATAGTTTTTAGATTTTATTTACTATGTTTTATAATAAAAAGAAATCTAATATTAAATCAAAAGATAATAAAAATTATAACTAAAATCATAATAAATTTTCTGATATTCAATTCAGTATATATTAAAATTAATTAAATATTTGTATTTAAGAATTTGTTACAGATTTTAGATATATATTTTAAAGTTTTTATTTTATTAAATTAATTAAAAATTAATTATATTTTCTTACTTTTTAATAAAGTGAGTGAATGATAATAAATTAACTAAAATTTTAAAATATATTTTAATTAAAAATAATTTTTTGATCAATACAATGACTAAAAATATTATAATAAATAATGAAATTAAATAAATTAAATCTTATAATGGTTATATTTTTAATGATAAGATGGGGCCGTTCACATGAAAGAAGAGAATAAATCTTTTATTCTCTTCTTTCTCTTTCTCGAGGTGAAAGAGGGGAAAGAGAAAGAGGGTCTTATGGAGGGAAGAGAGGGGGAACATTTGGGTGTTTTTTTTTCAATCCTCCACGACATCTAGGATCACAAGTGGAACGCTAACCAGGGGGGAGGGGAAAGGCTTGGGTTGGGCCTACCTATCCCGATAGGACCTCATAAAGGAACGGGAGCTGTTGATGCTAAATTAAATATTCTAATTATTTTACAATAAATTAAAATGAAAAGATAATAAAATATGTTAACTAATATTTCAAATAAAATACATTAAAATATTATAATCAAAAGAAATCCAGTATTAAATCAAAAGATGAATAATTGATTTAGTATGTATATAACTAATTTTATTTAAATTATATATTGAATTTAATTTTTACATATGAATTTTTTATTATTGAAAGAATTAAATTCGTTATTTAAATAGATCTATATTATAAACAATATAAATAGTCTATCACAAAAAACAAAATATTTTTTTAAAATAATGTAATTTACTCAACTCATACAGAAATCAATAAACATACAAAGTATTCACATATATTTAAAAATAGGTCAAACTAAAGTTTTTACTATAATCTATTTAGTTTAAAAGCATAGACTACAAGTTATTTAAAAAAAAGTATATTACACTTAAAAGATTGATCCATTTGAATAAAAAATAAATAATAATAATAATTATTATTATTATAATTATTGATATTATTATATTAAATTTACTATAATATATTGAAATTATATATACTTTTATTTATTGTTTTAAATATTAAACTTTTTGATTTATATAATAAAGTGAAATTTATAAGTTTGTTGAAAGATAAATTCATATTTTATTTAGATACTTTATTACAATTTTTTAAAAAGAAAATAAATTGTTACTAATATTAAACTTTAAAATAAAAGAAAACAATGTACTCATTTCGTTTCTACACTGTATTAAAAGAAAGAAAAAAATATATAATAAAAAATGTGAGAAAAAGAAAATCTTAATCACTGCCGTTTCTTCTGCTTTCCCAGCTACACTGCGTAGTGCGTACTAGTATATAACTAAATATTATCTACGGAAAAAATTCAGTAGGTAACATTCCATAAATAACTAAACATTATGTACGAAAAAAATTATGTAGGTAATATTCCGTAGATAACTAAACATTATCTACGAAAAAAATTTTGTATGTAATATTTCATAGATAACTAAACATTATCTACGGAAAAAATTTTGTAGGTAATATTCCGTCGATAATAACAGTTTTTCTTGTAGTGATTTTGTTGGAAGAGCAAGTCTGTAAGTTTAGGGAGGAGGCGCATCAATCTAGGGAACAAAATGAACACTTGCAGCGCCAGTTTTAGTCCCTGTTCAATGTTGTTCTACCTCTCCTACCTTTTGATACACAACATATTTTGCAACAGTAGGTAGATCAAAAATCTCATGACAACCATGATGACCAACAACCACCACCAACTGGACAATATGGAGATGACTATTAGTTGGATTTTTTTATAGATTATGGATCTACAACTATTTAAATATTTTTATTGATATTTTATTATGTAGAATTTTATGCAGAATTATCTTATTTTACACAATGACATGGAAACTAATTATGCATAATTGTTATGGGTATTCAGATTTTAAAGATGTTTGATTTCATATTGTGATTAATTGAATTTGCTTAATTGATGGATATAAGGTTGTAGGATATTTTAAGAAATATATGAACATCTCTTTTATAATAATGGGATCCGAAAAGTGATTTTATTTATATTTCTGACTAGGAACGAGGATTGGTGTGGAAAGATAAACAATCTATACTATAAATATGTTGAAAATAGTTATTTACAGAATATCCGTGGATAAGTTATCTACGAAAATATCCGTGGATAAGTTATCTACAAAAATTTCTATAGATAAGTTATCTATGAAAATTTTCGTAGATAATTTATCCACGAATATTGTAACAGCTGATTTTTACAGATTGTTTGAGGGCCCAAAGGCCCAATAGGGGTGATTTAGTAGCCCAGAACGGGCCGTTCTCAAATCGGAACGGACCGTTCCCAACGACTAAAACGAGAGTAATTTTGTATCCCAGAACGGGCCGTTCCCAAACTGGAACAGGCGTTCCAAAATACAAAAATTGTCTATAAATTTTAGATGGGAACGGGGCGTTCCCAAATTGAGAACGGGTCGTTCCAGAGTTGAGAACAGGCCGTTCCAAAACATGACCGTTGTGAGTATTAAATGCACCCCATAATGGGCCATTCTGGTTTGAGAACGGGCCGTTCTGGATGTGATTTTTAGTTGTGAGTTAAGGGTCCAGAACGGGCCGTTCCAAATTCGAAACGGGCTGTTCCGACGAAAAAGCCTGATGCCTATAAATAGAGCACTCTGCCACTCCCAAAAAGCACACTTCTCATTTTCTGATTTCTTTTCTTCTGCTCTCTCTTCTTTCCCTCTACTTTCTGCTTCAGACCGAGGGGAACCCAGCGAGGGAGACCCACCAGATCTTGTGTAGGTTCAGCTACTACTTATCAAGGTACGGGAGAAAAGGGAATTATTTCTATGCAAAGTTACATGAGGGAATTGGGTAGAAGCGGAAGCTCGTAGGATTATGAGTAATTTTATAATTACTTTTGTTTGGAGAATTATTGGTCTTATGTGATTCTGTATATATTTAGGATTATGAATATATATTTAGTTTGTAAGAATGATGATTTGGGAGAGAGAAAACGAAATTATAGAAAAGTGCCTATAGGCTAGGATTTGGAAAAATTGAATTATTTCTGGTTGAGAAATTAATGATCCCATTAGATCCAGTATATGTTGAAGATGAGAAATATATATTTAATTTGTAAGAATGATGATCTGGGAGAGAGAACGAAACTGTAGAAAAGTGTGTGTGAATTAGGTTTTGGAATAATTGGGGATTTTACCGTTTATGTTAAGATTATATTAAATTGCTAATTCTATTGATTATTATATTAATTTATGAATGTTATTGTGATATTATTTGATAAAATTGATGATCTGGGTGAGGATTCATGGTGAATTACTTGAGGGGTATGTGAACCACCATTTTGTGTGGGTTATTGTGTATGTATTGTGAAATTGAGATGTGGATGTGGATGTGAATGAGAATGTGATTGTGGTTCCTCACACTTGTGACCAGGGGTGGCACGACCTTAGCCAAGAAATGTTACAGGCGTGACCTTGGCATAGTATGGGATGGGTGATTCCTCGTGCTTATGTCGGGGGTGGCACGATCTTGAGCAAGAGATGTTGCAGGCCTGACCTTGGCACAATGTAGGATGTGTGAATTCTCATGCTTATGTCGGGGGTGGCACAACTTTGGGCAAGAGATGCTACATGCGTGACCTTGGCATAAGGTGGAATGTGTGAGGAAATTAATGCTTATGTCGGGGGTGGCACGACCTCGAGAAGGAGATGCTACAGGCGTGACCTTGACATAGGGTTAATTGCAAGATTTGTGATGGATTGGTGTGATTGTGAATTGTGATGTGAAGATGTTGTGTGATTGATAGAATTAGGATATATAGAAATGTTTGTAAATACTTTAATAAGTAATGAGTTATGATGAGACGATATTGTGGATTTTTCTTGTGTGCTTTTCATATAGATGTTTTCTTTTCTCACCGTATAATTTGTGGATGTTTTAGGTGAGGAAGATTCGGCTATGAGTGGCATCTAGAATGCCAACATTTGAGTTATGGGTATGCTCTGATATTGTGACATCGGGGCAGAGGACTTCTAGGACATGAAATTTATTTGTAAATGGAGCTGTACTTATTATTTTGAAAACATTTTATAACCTCTTATGTTTTATTTTCCAAGTCTCATATTTTGATATCAAAGAATGTTTCTAAAGGTTTTTATGTGAACCCTTTTACCAACTTTGAAAGTTTATTTTTCTTAATTTAATTACATTATTACAATGTATGTGTTGGGGTAGTAAGGGTGTCACAAATATTTTCGTAGATAACTTATCCATGGATATTTCCATAGATAACCTCACCTGTAGATAATTCTGTAGGTAAGTTTTTTAAATCTTATCCGTAGATATAATCCTTAGATAACAACTTTCATGGGTAATCTGTAGATATGTCTATATATTAAGGTTATCCACGGATAAAATTTCCGTAGATAACGTTATCTACGACCTTATTACCTACGAATTTTTGGCTGTACATAATTCATGGATAATT